CAGTATTATAAAGCATTCTCGCTATAGAGTAGGCTGGGAGTCTAATGCTGCAAATCATGCTATTAATACTTTTGTAGATTGTGTACTGCATCAAATCCAGTGAAAGGAGAAGAAAATTGCCTTGGTGGAATATAAAGTTCATTGAGCTCATTGTTACTTCATCAAGCAACAGCAGATTGGACAGTGTTTGAACCTGCAAACCTACCTAGTTCTTAGATGCTCCTGGATTTCATGGCTAATGAAAGTCTGGACAACAGGGCTTTAGGGGTTGCCTGTGCTACCTGCAAAAGCCTAATTATGATTACTACCCCCTAACTGCTTTCAAGTGGGGTTATTCTTGGAAAGACTTGAAGGAATTTTTGGGAAGAAGGATGTAATTACAACTTTCAAGTAATCTTTACCTAGACTCTTGTTTTATTTTGGCTTAATTATGCTTAAGCTAACTGGAACAGTTGATCCTATTCTTCCCCAGCCCATACCAGCTAGCTAATAACTAATCTTGTTTTGAAACACCAGTCCTTTAATGAAGACTCTTAAATACTTTACAATTGCTGTTCATCGCAGAGTTGTAATATGAGAATGCTTTAAGCACTGATCAGAACTGGTGATCGTGTAATTCTTCTCCCATGCGCTTGTGTAGTCCTAAGCTCTGTCGTGCTGGTTTGTTTCCCATTTGCCTCTTCTTACTGGGGACTTGAACAAAAGAGTGAGGAAGCCTGCTGAGCTCTGCCTTCTAACTGCAAGAGGTGGGAGTTCCTCTTCAGCAATGGTGCTAAGTCAGAGTTCTTTACTACTCAAATAGAGCAATCTTCTTGTTACATAATAATAGATTAACCACAGTAGCTTTTGTATTCTGTATCAGCTGCAAGAATCAGTAAAAGATGACTTCATGTCTGCTCTGGTCTAGTTTCCTGTCAGGTAGCAGTAGGACTAGAAGAGATGCACTTTCTTCCTTGTGGTGATCTGGGCCCTGGAAGATATTCTGTTTTATGGAAGAGGAAGACAGTGCTTGTTTGATGGGTGGAGTTTGGGTTATATGTTGGCAGCATATACATTCTTTTTAAGATAAGAGATGTAAAAAAAAGTCTGTTTTGCTTTGCCTCCAGGCTTGTCTGGTTTTGCTGTTATTATCTGATGTTAACAATTGTCAAGCCAATATGTTGGTACCTTCTCTGTGAATATGAGATTGCCTAGGATCTCACTTTTTAATATATTTTTAATTTCTTCCTATGTACAACACAGCTGCCTCCTTTCCCTTCACCTGTTCCTCATCCTCAGAGATAAATGCCCATGTTGGCTGCTTAGCAGGTTTTCAGAAGCGCCCTTTTATTTCACATATGTGAGTTTGCTTGACTTTCTGCAGAATGTTCCTGATGCTTGCTTCCTACTTTTGTCTTGCTAATTTCTGACACTGTGTGTATTTGGTAACATTGTGACTTGGCTTCTAAATTTTCAGTATTTTCATGGCCTTGTCACCTGACCTTGGTATGCAGATTGTGAATTTGGTATTGCTGTCTCAAATTTAATGAGCAAGTCTTTTTCCTTGCCCTTAAATTACTTATTTTCCTTACCTCCCCAGACCTTCCATCATGAGCCAATCATGTTGTCTTTCTGGCTCTTGCATGATCTTATGCGCTCACTATTGCTATGAACAGTTTGTTAGACAAAACATCATAATGGGTGCTGGTAGGGTTTTGTTGCTCTCTGAAGCTGCACAAAGTCAGAGGGGGCAGGCATGCTCTACGATAGCACCAGCCATGCTTCTCTTTCTCTGCCTGCCTGTGGAGGTAAAAGAAGACAGTATCATCTGTAGTGGTACTTCCTCAGTACTCTTCATACTCTCAGGGATTGCCTTCAGGATTAAGAGTTCTTTTTCATCTGTTAATTTTCCCAGTGATCTCTTGAATCACATCATCTGTACCCAGGTGTGTCATAGTATCATGAAATGGGGTGCAAAACCATTACCCTCTGTTAGGCTGCCCAGGGCTTCAGATTTTTTTTTCTTTTTTTTTTTTTAAAAAATCCATTAGCTATTAGTAAGATGCTGTGTAAGTGGTTGCTGTTGCCCTCTCTCATGCATTTAATAATAAGCTATGATATACTTACCCTATGTGAGCTTAATCCTGCTGTTTTTAGTCCATTTATGTATTTGCACTTTACAGCATCCTGTGATGGAGAATTTTAGATTTCAAGTGTGCTTTATAGAAAAAACATTAATTTCACTGACTGTCACCGGTTCTTTTGTTGTAAGAACAGTTGGTGATCATTCCCTAATTCTCCTCTTCATGTCTTTCATGACTTTATGGACATATGAAATACCTGTGCCTGATTGTTATTCTTCTGTTCAGCTGAAAAGTCTTAAATTTATGTTTGTGTGGAAGCTGTTCCAATTCCAACTGTTCTCATTGCTTGTAGAAAGTCATTTTAAGTATAATACCCTTATTGAACTGAAGTAACAGGGAACTGATTGGTGTTCAAAAAGGAGGCAACCCTGAAATTTTAAGTGGTATGTTAATATGTCCTGCTTTATTTTTTGTGCCATTTGTAACAATTCTTTGTCATCTCTTGGCCTTTTTGATGATATTGAGTAGTGAGCTGCTGTTTTCCAAGGAATACCTGTATCCCCCCTGTGCCATTAGTGATCTCTGATTTAGACTTGCTTTTTTTTGTGGGCATGTCTTTAGAGTTACCAGCACTGTGTTGTATCACTTGGTTTGTTGCTTGTGTTGGTGTATAAATACATTGCTAAATTATAAAAAGTGCTGTCTGATTTGTTTGGTAGTGCTTGCTCTTTTAGACATTTATTCCAAGAGCAGTGCTGGAGGCAGTTATACCGGATTGCTAATGACTTCTTCAAGGTTTTAGTTTCCAAGAAAACTGTACATGCATGCAGGCAGTCAGGCTGTTGCCAGTTGATGAGCACCTGAAAAAGCAACAGGGATTCAGAAACCTAAATGAACAATGGTGGGGTTGTTGCTGAATTTTGTACTTCAGTCTTTTGCTCTAGAAGTGCATTGTGAAACTGCTTAGGAGTCTCATTCCTGCCTAATACAACTGTGCTTTGAAGGTTTTCTAACATGACACACAACTGTATGGTCTTTCTTAGAATCTTAATTGCCCAGTAGTGTGATGCACTTGTTTCTTGATAGTTGTACATGTGGGATTTTGACAACCTTTCTGAGCTGGAGATGAGCAATGTTCTTAACCATGGGTTTGTGCTAATACTTACCTATATAGCAAGACTTCAAAGGCAGTGCCCTAGCCTTTTATCAGTGCATCTTTTCCACCTTCTCTGAGAGAATTCTATTGCCTGGAGAGTTTAATTATTTTTCACAATGAGTGCTTAAGAATTTTATCTTTGGACTGCCTAAAAATCCAGGATCTTGCAATTGTGCTTTCCTATTAGAAAGCTATTCTTGTTTGTAAGTGGTGAAAAACTTTTTTTATTCTGACAAATACAGTGGTTTTGGAAGACTTTTAAAATTAATTTACAGGCACTTTTTGTAAACGCTGGAAAACAGTGATTTCTGCAAATAACCTGTGGCATCACTTACAAACAAGCATCTTAGCAGCAGCAGGGTGTTTGGTTGGATTTGCCTGGGGGTCTTGCAGAGGGTGACATAGCAAACTGGCTATGAATTCGTCTGTAAGCAGAAAATCAGTGGTGCAGAACTTCTCCCCACTACTGAGTCCTTTGAGACATCTTTGGCAGGTCACTTATTAATGCTGATTTGGGTAGATTTAGTAAGGCAGTATTGCCCTTAGTGAGTCACTAATTTAAAAAAATTAAGTGAGAAGTCTCTGAATTCAGATTTCAAGTGTGGCATATTTTTGAGTCACTTCATGTATCATAATGTTGTAATATTCTTTTGCTTTCTTAGTACTTCTCTCATTTTGTAATCATAGCTTTAGGTTTAGTGAGTATGTTTAGTCATAGTGGTCAGGACCAGTTGCTGTTTTCAAAGAAACAAAATAACTTGTTCTGGTAAGAACTAAGAAGGGTAAAACACATCTCTGATTGTGAGACTGCCTGGAAGTTTTTTCCTTCAGAACTCGGGTTTTGTTTTTTTTTCCCCACGAAGTAGCTCCATTTCAAAAAAACTAGACTACAAACAGTTAACATGGGACTGCAGTAAATGGTCTAAGTTAGCAGAGCCAATAGTGAGCCCTCTGTGAGTATAGATAACAAGCTTATTTCTACAAGTGGTTTTGCCACATCTAGCTTCTGATCAACAGGTTTATTTTAACTTTGCAACATTTTAACTAATCCATATAATTGCTGTTTCCTCCATCCTCTTAGATAAGCATTTAGGTCTGCCTTTCACCAGGACCATGGAAAAACGACCCTGATGTAAGAACTCCCTTTTGAATGGTTTTTAATAAAGTTGCTGAGTTGTTTAAAAATGTGGCAGGGAGCAGAGAAAATTGTCATCTCTGTCCCCTTTAGGAAAAAAGGGAAAAGTAGGAACATGATAAAAGAAAGTACAGCTCTGCTTCACGTGTATTTTTGATCTAATCCAAGATATTTTTGAAGAAGGAACTTTAGAAGTATTTTGAAAACAATTTGAAATTTCTGTGAATAAGAATTTCTAAATTACACTATGAGCATGTAAAAAATATGTCTTAATTCTATGTCATAAGCCAGTCATTGATTTCCTGAACTGATGTTATAGGTAGCTGATTTTGTAATTTTTCTCTACTGTATTTTTTGTGGCAGAATGCAAGGTTAGTCTGGTCTATCCATTTATCCTTTCAATGCACAGGCACAGTACTAGTGTTAATTAAAGTTTTACAAATGCAGCAATCTAATGCAGATCTAGAATGTGTGCCTTCTATCTCTTTACTGCCAGGCTGAAGCCTGTCTTCTAGGACATTTAAATGATACTGATTGCTGTTGTGCAGTACTTTACAGAATAAAGAGGAGCAGAGTTGCTGGAGTTGGGAGTCATGGACTTTAAACATAGTTTTGAAGTCTGACTCCTCTGTCTGTCTTGTAAAAGCAGGTTGAATGCCAGGATGCCTTGGAAGCAGCTGCTCGGGCAGAGGGCCTGCCACTGGACACCTCTGTGCATTCCCAGCTGAGAATGCTGGATGAAGAGCATCGCAAGAGCAAATACCACCATGGCTTGAATGTGCTGAAACCCATACGGACTACTTCCAAGTAAGTCTTCAGGCTACAAAAGAACTGATACACAGAATTTGCTTTTCAAACTAGTCACAAAGCAGGATTGCAGCTGTAGGTCTGCTGACTGATATGGGGAACATCAGATTTGTTTAGCAAGTATGACTGGTGTGGGCTATTTGGTACTCTGAGTACTTTCAATGAGAGGAGGCTTTGTAAGGGATTTACAGTTCTGTTTTTTCATTTGTGATTTTTCTTTTTTTTTTTTTTTCTCTTTTAGACACGAGCACCCTGTTGATAATGCTGGGCTGTTCTCCTGCATGACCTTCTCCTGGCTCACTCCTTTGGCCCACAGAGCATACAAGAAAGGGGAATTGTTTATGAATGATGTATGGTCTTTATCAAGTCATGAGTCTTCAGATGTCAATTGTAGAAGGTAGAGACATCCTTATTTCCTTGGTTTTGTGGTTGTTTTTTTTTTTTTTCCATGTGTTAGTGCACAGGCAATGATAATGATAGAAAAGCACCAGTGATATTTTGTTCTGTCTTTCTCAGGATAGTGGAATTTAGTTTTATCATTCAAATACCACTTCTTCCTGCTGTACTCTTGCTTATATCAGTGAACTTGGAGGATTCTGTCTCCAGGAGTGTTTAGCAGTTGTTTTTCTGATTTTGCATGTCTATTTTTTATCAAAACAAAGTTCTTAAGGCTGCACTGAAAAAATCTTGTGCTAAAATAATGAAAATTAATACTGACAATAGCAAGGTGATTTGAATATGGTCAGATCTTGCGATCAAGCTAACCTTTCATGACCAATGAAAATTTTTGTCAGGTTTTGACTCTGCAACTCTTCTGTCAAGCAAGGAAAGCAGCAAGGAAAGGCTATGACAAGTCAGTATATTGAGATTGTCAAAGAGGCTTTAGGGAAAGCACCTTTTTTCTGTAGAAGTAACACAACATAGATATTTCAAGATGCAGATATTTCTCTTTACCTTACAGAATGTACCATGTATGTATTTCACTTGATGTCTAGTAATTTTTGTTTCTCTGAGCTAGAAAGTGATTGGAATTTTCACAAAAAAGTACTTAGGAGATTGTACCTTCTCTCATGGTGAAAAATTTATAACATGAGGCTTCTGTTTTTATTAGGCTGGAGAGATTGTGGCAGGAAGAACTGAAAGAAAGTGGGCCTGATGATGCTTCTCTCCGGAGGGTTGTGTGGATTTTCTGCCGTACCAGGCTCATCATTTCCATAGTGTGTCTGATGATCACTCAACTCGCGGGTTTTAGTGGACCAGTAAGTAATATCCATCCTTTTTTTAACAACCCCAGAGGGCTCCATCTCATGGCCAACTGTAAAATCTTAAAGTTTCGTTATAGTTACTTAAAAGTTTTGACTAGCTAGAAATTTTGGGGCAAAATTCCAGAGTGATTCAATAATCCAAGATAGGTTTCCTACAGCTGGTGGATCAGTTGCTGAATACCGAGGCAAGTTCTTGGAGAAGGGTGGGGGAATTTAGGTATCTTGGAGGAAATGCACACTTGTTTTTCTCTTTGCTTTTGAGTATAGTTTAAAGTTGTTCCTTGACTGTGGTCTTTTTTTGCATAGAATTTTTATGTGCAGGTCTTCTAATTGTTTTCTTTTTCTTTTTGCTATTCTGTAAATGTATCTTGGAATAAAATTCAGTCTGATAAAATACTAATTTTAGATTGTTGGCTTTAATAACACAGTCTTTGAGGAGTGGAATGAAACTGTTTTATATTAGAGCACTATTTAAAACTAATATGAGCAGTTCTTAAGAAGTCTAAGGGTATAGTCTTTACTGATCCTGCAGAGAATGGTCAGACAGAAGAAGTGTTAGAGCATGTTACTGCCTCTAGGAACTGCTGCTGTTTGCTGTGAGTCGTACTGAAGATAACAACATACGGGACTTGACATTCACACCATTTTTTGTCACCTGTTTGTTGCACGTGCTGTGCAGATTTAAAGTTGAAATCTTAACTAAATTTATTCTCTACACATTTCCCTTGAGGAGTAGGAGCAGTATTACTGCTAGTAGTACATGTTTCAGTGTGCTGGTAAGCTGAAGGTTCATTTCTTAGGTAAGTACACTTGGGTGCACTGTTAGGTGAAATGTATTTTTAAAATGTTTCTCTGCCTTTAAATGTCTTATCAGAATGTTCTGCTTTTTAAGACTTTTTAAAGTTTGCCTTGTTTCATGTAACGTGAATAACAATAAATGTTTCTGTGGTACCGTTTCATTGGTAATAACTTGTAGTACCTTGGATTATGAGATATATATATATGAATGTACTTTGATAATTAACACAAATTGCGATTAAGGTTTTAACAGCAATAGGTTTCCCCAAGAAGAGCTTCTGTCATTGTTTCACTACAGGGCTTTAGTAGCTGCTTTTATCTTTAGAAAAGAACTTGCAGCAGGGTTGCCCCTAATTTCTGTAGTGTAATTTTCTCAATTTGTCTCAGCCGATTGCTGAATGAGAGAGAGCAGGAGGGGAAGGAGCAAAACAACCTGCTTGGTTAGGCTGGGGGCTTCTGCTGCAATTGATGCTTGATTTTGAGTAGTTTAAAATTATCTATAGACATTTGCCCATTTACAGGGAACCTTATTATTCTCTGAATGAAGAACAGTTCCCTTTTTGGTTCCATCATTTGGCATGAAAATAAAGTCTTTACCATCCCTCCTCCCTGTTTTTAAAAATGGCATGCCTCATAGGTATGCCTGTGCTGTCTCCTCAGAAGTATCAGTGCTTCTTATATTGTTGCACCCTTTCAGTCACCTGAAAAGGGAGATCAGGGAAAAGCACTTGACTTGCTTCCGTATTGGTGAAAACTATAAAAATGGAGTTAAACACTATTGAACTTCAAAAATTTTAATTGAAAGTCTGTGACCTTGAAGTACCAGCCAACAGCTGTGGCTTTGCTGCTTTGCTAATGAGCATTGTGATGGTTATAAGTGGAAAGGAGTTGTGACAGACTTCCTGTGTGTTTGGGGTTTTTTGGTGTTTCTTTTTGTAATGGATAGATCCTTCAAGGGTCCTTTTTTTATTATTTTTTATTTTTTTTTATTTATTTTGGTAGATTCTGCATCTGGCACAATATCCAAACCTGTAACCTGGTGAGACAGTTGCATGTGTCAGAATGCCTTGTAATAACCATCAGAATGTGCTGGAATAGGTGAGATACTACTTATCTCCAGTGAATATTTGCTGTCATTTGATCAGCTACCTAAACTTTTGAGTTTGGGTTGAGGAGTAAAGAAGTTTTTTGATTACTAAACATAATCAGTTTAACTTCAGGTCTGAACAATGTCCCCGTTCAGAGCTATTCTTCCTGTTTGGGAGATGGGGAAACTTGCTATCTTAGTGGAGTACAGCTTGACCGTTTGGTCAGTTATTGGAGGGGGGAGTGGTAAGCTATTGGAGGTAAGTTTCCCAATTTCCCAGTTGGCTCCAGTTGCAGCCTGCCCCATGCTGTCGCATGCTGGCTGCAGCAGGGATGCCGGCACTGCAGTGGGACCAGTGACAGAAGCTGTTCTTCAGAATTTTCAGGATGGCTGTTTTCTGCGTCAGAATGAGACAGTCCTGCTGGGCAGAGCCAACGCCAAGAGCAAAGGTAAGGTAATGTTTATTCAATGGGAATGCTTAAGACAGCCAAGCAGCTAGTACCAACTACAGTAATAGTCACAGGAGTTCCTTTTTTCCTATTAGCTTGAGTTTTAGTTTTGTACTGTAACTTTGTTTTGTAAAGAACTTTATGCTGGATTCTTGTCGTTAAATGAGTTTGATTTCAAATAATATGTGTTCGGATGCAAATGTTAATTATATGTGACTTTTTCCCCCTCCCTTTTTGAGATTCTTTAATCTGCTGTTTCCTCTTCTGAAAAAAAAAAAATGGGGGCATAATGTAAGCTGGTCTCTATTTCATCACGGGAGATGCTGAATCTATAATATAGTGCTGAAAGATTGCACTAAAAAGTTTTGGGAGGAATGAGACCCCAGGAAACATCTGCTATCTGTATACGTCCTCTCTTGGAGACTTTCAGCAATGCTGTGGTGTGCGAGAAAATGCTCTGTGACCATGCTGGGTTACAGCTCGTGACGAAAAAGGGGGATTTTTACCCCAGTTGCTCAGTGACTTGGTTGCATATGTTGGATTGAATACTGGAAAAAGAAGTCAGTAATCTCCTTAGTAACTACAAACCAACTGTATGCAGTTGTGGTCCAAACACATGATGTAAAACTAAATCCAATTTAGGAGAAAGTTGAAATGCAATAGATCTGTGAATGTGAGCTCCTCACATTTGTTCAGGGATTGGTATGTAAATTTTCTCTGGCCATTCTAGAACCTGGTGGACATCTGGCTTTAATTCACAGCTGTGAAAAAGAAAGAGCAAAATTATTTACAGCATGTTTCCTTGGTTCTGATGTGCAGAATTACTTTCCTCAGAACAGATGAATTTGATCTCCATTTTTTTTCTGTTATTTGGTGCTGGGCTATAGCTAATCAATAACTTTGCTTGAAATAGTGGGGTTTTGTTTTCCTCTCTCTTCAACCTATACAGAACTCTTCTTTGCAAAACCTGGTTTAGCCAAGAGGACTCCTATGGACTATTATGTGAAAGGCTTCTCAAATATTTTCTTTGGTTTCAGATTTTTTTTTGTTACTTTTTATTGAAGGCAAAGGTAACTCTCTGCTTTGTACTCGCTTATCAAAAGCACCAGTATTTTAAAGCATCATTTGTTGAAAAGCTCTCTAGGAAATATTTTGCTGTCTGTGGAGCCTTATTGTAGGATACTTTTTAAACCAGATTTCAGAATTTGTGCAGCCTCAGAAGCCTCCTCTGGCACCTGCAAGTTTGACTTCTTTTGGACTTCATGAACAAATACTGTTCTGTTTTTGTATCTTTACAATTTGTGTGTAGTTTTAAATCTAGCTTATGTTAGAGGCTAAGACTGTTAGATGTTAGTCCTTTATAATTATCCTGTATGTGCAGATTGTATGTTTATACAATGCTCTACCTGTTGTACAGTGTTTTTGAGATGTTACCATTTAAGATGACACTTTATTTCAAATAAAAGCCTATTGTTTCGCAGTCAATAGTATTTAATTAGTATTGCTGGTGATTGAGTTGTATGATGTTTTGTTGTGCTGTTGGACCACAAAGAGCTGGAGGTGGGAATCGGTGATTCTGGGGGCTGTCTTCTTTCTGCAGGTGATGTTTGAAATGTGATTCCTGAGGTAAAGTGTTTGTTTTCGGGGGGAGAGGGTATGGGGAGGGATCAAATGGTTAAGTTTTCTTCCTTTTTTTTTTTTCCTCCCCATCCCTAATGATTTGTGGCATTGCGTACCTTGTGCTTTCTGCTTGTTTTTTTCTTTACTATTAAACTGCTGATGTTTATTTCCAGGAATGTTTTGCAAATGTCCTTCTCACTCTTCCCCTCTACAACTGTAGGTACATTGTTCCTTTTTATCAAATAAGCACGTTTGAAGCAAGCCAAAGATAAAATAAGAAAGGTCTTAATGTCATGTAAAGGAATGTTTCTTAATGTGCACAGATGTATAAGTAGTGACTATATTTTAAAATTCTTCTATATGATAATGCATTGCTTTCAGCTGACAGACAGATTTATGTTAAGTTAGAAGACACGGAGGATTAGAAGCGTGCTGCGAGGAATATGATTTCAAATTAAACTCTACTTACTAAATTTGACTCAGTGCTTGGCTCTCAGCAGGGCTTTGTATTACAGTACTTGTATTGACGCCATTTACTTCTAGAAAGAAGAAGCTTTCTATTTCAAACGGCTCTTTTAAAAGCAAAGTAGCCTACTTATTTCTAACTTAACATAAAGTTGTTGCATGGTCTTCTGGGATGATGGGGTGTTCATGCAAGCTTGCATTTCTTCCTGTAGGCGTTCGTTGTGAAACATCTTCTGGAGTATACCCAACAGAATGAGTCCAACCTGCAGTACAGCTTGTTCTTAGTTTTTGGCATCTTTATGACGGAAGTGGTGCGATCTTGGTCCCTTGCACTAACCTGGGCTTTGAATTACCGCACGGGGGTTAGGCTGCGTGGAGCTGTCTTGACAATGGCATTTAAGAAAATTCTTAAGCTGAAGAACATCAAGGAGAAGTCTCTTGGAGAGGTAAGCTGTAGTGTCATTTTGGAAACTGCAGTGTGAAAAGGGATATGTGATACATTCTTTTGAGAACGAGCTGTGCCTTAAATCTAAATGGTCTGTTATGTGTATTTTTCAGCTCATAAATGTGTGTTCCAATGATGGTCAAAGGATGTTTGAGGCTGCAGCAGTTGGCAGTTTGTTGGCTGGGGGCCCTATTGTGGCCATCTTAGGAATGGTTTATAATGTGATTATTCTGGGTCCAACAGGCTTCTTGGGCTCTGCTGTCTTCATCCTTTTCTACCCAGCAATGGTGAGTTGTAAAGAATTAAGACTTGCTTCGTTTTTATTAGGTCAGACATATCTATAGTTCTGAATAGGAGGTGTTGAAATGTACTACATTTAGCCCATTTATGGTGCTGCATGTCATCAAAGGTATTATTGAAGGTGTTTCTAAAGATGATACGTGAAGCAGAAATTTGGAAACAGGAAGCCCAAAATTAATTAAAAAATGGAGATAGGAAACCTCATAGATCTGACTGAGATGTATAGATGCACAGCTAAATCAAATTGCAAAATGCTGAGGTGCTTGTGGTAAAGGTTGGAAAGACACAAGGCCTCCAGCTTGTGTACAGGAGCTCAGTGTTGTGTGAGCTCATCGCTCTTCAACAAATGGCATTGAAAAGCACTGTATCTAGAGGAGTACGTTCTGGATTAATCCTGCCTCTACTTCTGATGAGCCCTGGAATAGTCTAGTTCAAGCCAAAATCTTCTTGCCTCTAAGATGTTGTGTAAGGCTGCTCAAGATGTATCAATGTATTAATTATTAACATTATACAGTTTTATAAAGTGTGGAGGCTGAATGTTGTGAGGTCTACTTTGGTCCATTTTATCTGGCCAGCAGTGAGAATTAAAATAATGGGAATAATATTTTATAAGAGGGGAATGAAGAGCGGAGTTTGGTCGTCTTTCCCAGTTCTTTTCAGCAGTCCTTCTGTATTGATGGGGACTCAAAGAGATTACAGGGGTATGAAGAAGGGCAGGGAGCTGAAAACTTCCAAAATTAGTTTGTTGGCTTTGAATTTCAGACCAGGAATGTAAGAGTAGCAAAACCTTAGAAACATGTGAATGGCTGCTTATTTTTAGATTGGTTTAGTAAAAATGCTAAAAGTGTTTTACCACCTTCATAGCATTGGCATATGGTAGAAGTTGATCTGACTGGCAAAGTCCGGCTTGCTCTTTTGCCTTAAGGGACCAGATTAAAAGGTTGGGTAAATTAGGTTCTACTGTTCATTTGCTGTGAGGGTCAACATGTTGTGTCTTTAGGTTAATGTTTTTATAGTCTTTGTGCTTCAGAAACTTTAACATATCTGGTAGTATTCAATGTTGGTAAAAGCACACACTCTTTTATTTTCACAAATTTTGTTTTTGTTTAAACTTGTTATCATGAATCCAGTGCTCAGTGCAGATGGGGTGGGAGAATATGAATAGTATTTCCAGCCTGACTTTTATGTTAGAGCAACAGTTCCTTTGCCCCATCCTTGAATCCCTTTTTCACATTCAGAATTGGCCTTCTCTGGTAATTAGGATGAGTTGAGCATACTTGCTCTTTCTGAGTTGCCATTAATGTTGCATGGTGTTGCTTTTTGTTTCAGATGTTTGTTTCACGCCTCACAGCTTATTTCAGACGAAAATGTGTATCAACAACAGATGAGCGTGTGCAGAAGATGAATGAAGTCCTTAATTACATTAAGTTCATTAAAATGTATGCCTGGGTCAAACCGTTTTCTCAGAATGTTCAAAGTGAGTTCATACAATCTGTAAATATTTCTTTTTGGGCAGGCACCCCATTGCTTAATAGCCTGGTGTCTCCTTGCTTCTTAGTACCATAGATGTTGATGTGTATACAATGTAATAACAACACTTTCATCCTTGAGGCTTCCTATTTTTTATGCATGATGGGTTGGACAAACAGACGTGCTTCTAAAGTTTCACCTTCTAGCATAAATATGATTGCTGCTTGGCACTGATCTTAATTTTTCAATTTTAGTTTGGTTTTTTAATAATTTAATTAATGTGCTGGCTGCTTCATTTTTAAATTTAAAATGAGGTATCTGTCCTCATGGAGATTTACAGGCCGTTATAGTTTGCTCCTTTGTAACTGTGGGCTTTAGATGAGATGGTATATAATGTGATACGTAAGTGCTAAAGCATAGATTTAGGCCTCTTACTCAGTGTTTATAGTGCTATGGTAGAGTCTGTTGTGTATGTACCCCCCAAATCGTACTTCAAATGTAAATATATATTTCTAGAAATTCGTGAGGAAGAACGTAAAATCTTGGAGCGTGCGGGCTACTTCCAGAGCATCACTGTGGGTGTGGCTCCTATAGTTGTAGTCATTGCCAGTGTGGTGACTTTTTCTGTCCACATGATCCTTGGCTACGATCTTACAGCAGCTCAGGTAACTTGCTGCAGTGTTGAAAATATTCTTTACAATATTGCTACAAACCATTTCTCTTCATCATGTTCTTTGCTTTGTGGCTGTGCTTGTGTGGCCAGACTGTAGCCTTTCTCACAAAAATGAACAGCTGATGGGTGTGACAGCAGCAAATGCAGTCTGATACTTTGCACAAAAATTTCTCAGTGCTGTTTCAGTCCTGGCTTCCTGGAACAGGTTTGGAACTGAAGGCAAATGAGCACTCATGTTTGCTATTCATGGCATTTGGGTTACTGGATGTTTCTGATTTACAGTGTGCTTGGATGCAAACAGCACAAATTTCTTGCAACAAGATTTGAACTTGGGTCTTCTCAAATAATATGCTAGTGCAGAATTTGCTAGCTGCTGCTCTCAAAAGACTTCCAAACCCAAATATGGAAGATGTCTCTCTTGGTCTGTTACAAAGCACAGGAGAAAGAGTTGGGTAGATCTGCTGTTCTCTGCCATTTGAGAATATGTTGGAAATTTAAATGGTTATTCTTGGACTGTGGTCCTTTTCCATGGGTTTGGATTGCTGCTGTGACACTTCACCTTTCAGAAGGTTAGAGTTGTTAGTATATTGCATCCAAATGTGATTCTCTTTCTTGTTTCATTTTTAGGCATTCACAGTGGTCACTGTCTTCAATTCAATGACTTTTGCACTAAAAGTAACACCTTTCTCAGTGAAGTCTCTGTCTGAGGCATCTGTTTCTGTTGACAGATTTAAGGTAAGCAGTCATTTTGGCTTGCGGTTTTAACTGTAAGTGTGGAGTGTTCTATGTGTATAACAGAAGTTAAGGGGAGACTTGGAAGGCTATGTTCATTTTCTCTACACTTGGTACTCCACATTATTGGATTCTGCAAAACAGATACAAATCTAGTGAAGAAATATTAGAAATTTAAGATGATGCCAGTGAGAGAAGGAAAATATTTAATGATTTTAGGATTTTCGTGTTAGCCCCTATAGGAGATAGATTACAAGACCAAATGGCTCTCAGTATAATAATTCTTAAACTCCCTTTTGAGACCATCTGCACGAAAAGACAGTGCAACATGTCTCCAGTGAAATTTTGTGTTATGCTAATGAAATTCCTTTTGGAAATGCCAAGTATTATGTAGGGAGCTTTGCACAACTAGTAAAGTTTTATTTGTTGTCATGAAAAACTGAGGTTTTATGTTTCCAGGCCAGATCAAAGTGACTGAAACTCCATTCTTTGAATAGAATGCAGTTGCTATCTGACAAAAGAGAATCTATGGCAGAAAATTAAAACCCGTATATAAGCAGTCTTATCCTTCAGTCCCTGTGGAGTGAATATGTTGTGTATACTTCAATATGAATTCAAAGGACAGGCCTTTATTTTGGCTTCTCCCTTGAAGGCATTGCAGAAATTTCCGAACAGGATTCCACAAGCATTGACAGATAGGTGGATCCTCTGTAATGCATTCATGAAACATGTATGGGTGTGAGGAGATTGGGATCTGCATAAAGGTTTTGAAATACCATTGCTTTTGAACATTTTTGTTTCATCATCTGGGTTATGCCAAATCGGGCTTTTTAAAATCCTATGCATTGAAGGGAGTTCGGGGGGAGGAGAAGAGAAGAAAGGAAATTGTAATATCTCCCAGTTTGACTGTAAAAAGTATAATCTTTGCAGGGTGTATAACAAAGGGTGGGGGTACTCTTAACATCACAGTAAGAATGTAATTAACTTCTTGGCTCTGTACATGAATATAAGCTTTTTTGCGAATGTATGATTTAGGCATAACAATTGCAAGAATAAGGCTGAGAATTGAGAAGTCTTCACAAAAGGCTTCTTAGTTCAAAACATAAATTATGTAAGTGGGAAACACTTTTTTTATCGTGTTCTTAAACTGTGTAAAAATATCTTCCTAATCTGTGTTGATTGTAAATACTGATGGATGTGGTGGAAAACGTGATACAATGAACTTAATGGCTTACTACTTACTGTCAAGCAGCCTACAATAGATAGGTCAGCTAAATTTGTGTGGGATGACTTTTTCCCAGCAGAAAAGTTGAAGGGTAAAGGCTGAAGTGAAAAGTCATTCTATCTCCATCATTCTGTCTCTTTCTGTAATGAGTTGGTGTGTAGGACGAGTCAGTCACTTTCCCCCAAAGTGACCTCTCCTTACCAACTGATGTATTCTACTCATGGCTTTAATCTGGAAGTTACAGAGCTGCAGTTGCAAACAGTGTTAAAAGAATAAGCCCCTCTTGTACCACATCAAGAGTATTGCAGTTCTGTAAAAAATCTGTGCTTCAAAGTGTTTCCACCACATCCAGGAATGCCCCGGCCACTTAGCAGGCCTGGAGTTAGTTTACACTAATGAGCTACCTTTTGCTCTTCAGCTTCCTCCTACTGTATAGCCTGATGTGTTTTGCTGCGTGAGTGTGCCATAGGCTTGTCTCCCAGTCTTGATCAGGTGTCTCATCTTTACACCTCTCTCACAACTCCTATCAGAGTTTATTTCTAATGGAAGAGGTTCATATGATAAAGAAAAAACCAGCCAATCCTCACACCGCGATAGAGGTGAAAAATGCTACCTTGGCTTGGGAATTCTCCCACGCCAGCGTCCAGAGCTCACCAAAGTTGACCCCCAAAGTGAAAAAAGACAAGAAAGTCACCAAGGGCAAGAAAGAGAAAATGAAGCTACAGAATGAGGGACAGCAAGCTGTGCTGGCAGAGCAGAAGGGCCATCTTCTAGTGGACAGTGATGACCATCGTAGCCCCGAAGAGGAGAACAAAATTATCCACCTAACTAACTTTCGGCTTCAGAGGACTCTGTACAACATTGACTTAGAGATAGAAAAGGTAAGAGAAGAAAGGAGGAAATCTGAGCTTTCAAAAGGCCTCATTTTTAGCAGTCCCTTGGAATAGAGAGCTGTGTATTTTTGCATGAAATGGAGCACATTACTTTTGTGCACTCCTGTAATATCCATGGCAACTGCAGTATCCAGGATGCAGGGTCTGATCTTGCTGTAAACAGCTGTGCCATTTTAGCAAATTAGATCTTTACCAGCAGCCTACGAAACAAGTGCAGGTTGTATAGCTTTCAGATCTGATGGGTTTGTTCTTTGTAACTCTTTTTACAGTACATGAGCCATTTAGTTTAAAGAATCAGCAGGGCAACAGGCTTATCAGTGAGGTATTGGTAGGTGGTGTGTTCCTGCAGCCATTCGATAATTTGGCAGGGTTTCAGCTATGTTCTGGGTGAACATTTTAGGTGATTAGGTGTTCTAATGGAGCCTAAGAGCGCTTTTCATTGAAGAAATCCTAGAGAATATTTGTATGGTAGAAGTACACAGATTTTTAAGAATTTAAAAGTGGTTGCGGTCCTTATTCGAAGATGGGTAAAAGCATGTAAAATGTCAAAGAAAAAGCCTTGAATATACTACATGACATCTACAAATACAAAAGTTTTGCAGTTTGGCAGTTGAATGTTGTAGTAATAGGTTACATGCATTTATCAGGGTATTTATGGTTAAATTGTATTCCGTAGTCATATGACTAGAGAGATTAAACTATTTTAAGCTATTAAAACCCCTATATTTTAAATTTTGAGGAGGATGCTATAGTTTAAAAAATAGCCATGAAAAACGAGTATGCAGTTACATGAAAATGTAAAGGCTATTTTTCTGTCAGAAGCTTGTAAGTGAGAGGAGGCAAAGAGAGAATACAGCAATGTATTCTGTGGCTACATACCTTTTTTTTTATATACAAGTGACTATATACCTTTTTTGTCTGCTTTACATTTTTTACACAAAAGGAACAAAAATAGTTCTGATTAATTCATTGTTTAATGTGGGTATCAACCCATCCATTTTATTTCAGAGAAATGCTTCAACGTGACTTGTCTCTAGCCTTTTCTTGACATGTGTTCCTTGGTAAACTGTATCTCATAGGCAAGGAGCTTTAATGGACCCAAATATCCTAAGTTCTGCTTTTCTTTCGGTCTTTCTCCTCTTTATATTTTCCCTTACCACTCTCAAAAGCATCTTGGTGTGTTCTGTTCAGGCAGGCCTTAGTGCTTTTGACTGAGTGCAGCATTTTCTGGGCCTGTATCAGGCTCAGTCAAAGGGAAGCTGATCTTAAAATACATTAATTTTTACCTGTAGCATTGATGTGATTTTAGTCCATTGTGGGATCGTATTTACCCTTTATTGTTTGAGAGTTAAAATACTGTCTTGTTTTTTTTGTCTATGTCCCTTTTTAGCTGTCATTAATGTCCAGCTGACCCTTCAGAGGTACAAAAGGTAGTCCAAATTCTGAAAGGGGTGGAGTATGTAAGGAATGGATACCATAAATTATTTTTTCTCTGTCTAGGGAAAACTTGTTGGAATTTGTGGCAGTGTGGGGAGTGGAAAAACTTCACTTATCTCAGCCATTTTAGGACAGGTGAGAATTCCTGTTTTGACTACTTCTGTTCTTCTCTCTCCTCTTATTTCACTTCTCTGTAGAAGAGAGCCTATTCTAAACATGGAATAGTGTAATTTCAGAGTTTTATCTTTAATTTCAGATGACCCTGTTGGAGGGTAGCATTGCAGTAAGTGGAATGTTTGCATATGTGGCCCAGCAGGCCTGGATTCTCAATGCTACACTTCGAGACAATATTCTTTTTGGCAAGGAATATGATGAAGAAAGGTTTGTCAGAACTGTTTGCTGATTTTCATGAAAGCTTAGTAATTCTTGGCTCGAATGTGAGAAAATTTAATGCAGACTATACTGCAGTTAAAGCCTAGGTATCCTTTTAGAGTCTGTCTTTAAGTCTCATTTAAGAACCTGTCTCTCTTGCATGTGGTCTCTATGGTTGTCAGCATGTCTGTCATTGCTCATATGCAATGAGGGCTGTACTTCATGCTGGAGTATTGTCTGACCCCTGTTTTCAGCAGCTGCTGTGGAGCAGCACTGCAGTGTCATTTGCTGTTGCTGTCCTGGTCTTTCTTTAAACACAGCTGCTGCTTGCAATGTATTAGCATCTTCCATGGTTCTTCCCCTGCCAGGCCTTTCCTGTGGCCTGTGCTAGCTATCCCTGGAAAGAAATTGCATCCTTACCTTCACAATACTTCATAGAATCATTTAGGTTGGAAAAGATCTTTAACATCAAGTCCAACCATTAACGAAGCACTGCCAAGTCTACCACTAAACTGTGTCCCTCAGTGCCACATCACATGTCTTTTAAATACTTTCAGGGATGGTGACTTAACCACTTCCCTGGGCAGCCTATACCAATGCTTGACAATCCTTTTGATGAAGAAATTTTTCCTAATGCCCAATCTAAACCTTCCCTGGGGCAACTTTGGGTTAATTCCTCTTGCCCTATTGCTTGTATCTGGGAGAATAGACTTGACACCTATGTTGCCACAACCTCCTTTCAGGTAGTTGGAGAGTGAGAAGGTACCCCCTGAGCCTCCTTTTCTCCAGGCTGAAAGCCCTCAGCTCCTACTGGGTAGTTGATTAATTATTATCTGCAATTCCCCCCAGGAATCCAAGGCAGATCATTTGTTTTAGGCTGCTGGTGTGTTTGCTGTCAGTATAGAAAGTGAGATAGTGCTGTACTAGCTAGTGAAAACTAGTGTTCTTACTATTTATCTCTTTGTTCTTTAGGTACAATACTGTGTTGAATGGTTGCTGTCTAAGGCCTGACCTAGCCATACTTCCAAATGGGGACCTGACAGAGGTATAAGTTTTGCTTATAGTCAAGTAATTAGTAGATGGAGAAAGCAGTTTTGGTTTGGCAGACTAGACTGGAGTGAGAGGAACATCGGTCTGGTATGCATGTAAGCTGAATGTACTTTTTTGAGCTCAACTTATCAGTGCAGGCCATTGGTTATTGAGAGTTGTGCCATATTTTTGCCTTGGATGTTGATGTTTGAGAGTTTTTGTGTTGTAGATTTACATGCCTTAACAGGGACCTATTTGAACTTGATTTAAAATAGCTAAGGAAAAAAAGCATGGATTTTTTAATACAAAAAAAAAAAAGTTAAATAAGCAAAATACTGCCACATCTCAAGCAAACTAACTGTGAGTTTAAATATATAACACATTTCACAAAGAAGTGGACACCTAAAGTGGAATATATATAGTATTAAACCAATATATAGTATTATGGGTGTGTGTGCATGTATACATAAATAAAAATCTTATGGACTACTTTACCTCTGTCACCTCTTGAACTCTGAGTATCTGTGTTGCATGGTGCTGTAGAAATAAATAACAGGTGTGTGTCTGTACAGATTGGTGAACGAGGGGCTAACCTGAGTGGAGGACAGCGTCAGAGGATCAGTCTAGCTCGAGCCCTGTACAGTGACAGGGACATTTACATCCTTGATGACCCCCTTAGTGCCTTAGATGCTCATGTTGGAAATCACATTTTCAACAGTGCAATAAAGAAGCACCTGAAGTCAAAGACTGTCCTTTTCATCACTCATCAGCTTCAGGTATTTTATCTCTCACTTTTTGTCTGACTTTCTTAATGTTGTTTAGTCAGTTGACTTCATACTAGAAATGTCTATGCCTTGAACTGTTACAGCACAATCCTGTCTGCCTACAGGATGCATTGTTTACAAACTAGGTTTGCAAATATGCCTGGAGCACAATCTAATTCTTTGATACCAGTGCTGCTTGGTGTCCGACTGGGACTGGTAGCATTTGGCTAAAGAAAACCCCACTTTTACTAACTTGCTTCAAAGCTTCGTTACATCAGAAAACACTTAGATTTGGTATCAGTAAATTGGAATTGATGTAATCTGAGTGTCGTGTCCCCCGTTCCCCCCCCCCATCTTCTGTGCATAGAAATATTGATACTTGGTTATATCAGTATTTGCAATGTTTAAGTATCCTGAATTGTGTCATCCATAACAGATTGGCTTTGATAGAACATAAAAACTTTATTTGTGTAGGGTGAGAGTAATCTTGGTGCTCTAGTTGACGTAGGACCTTTGAATATTAGAATTCTGTTACAGAAGAAGGGCTGTGTTGTATGCAGATGACTGTGAATTACTGAAAAGTATTGTGTGGGAGTGTGATGGTCACACGTAGTGATAGAGGCTTGTTCTTACTGCCATTTTCTCCAGTATCTTGTTGACTGTGATGAAGTGATCTTCATGAAAGAAGGCTGCATTACTGAGCGAGGAAGCCATGAAGAACTGATGAATTTAAATGGGGACTATGCAACTATTTTTAATAACCTACAGCTGGGAGAAACACCCCATATTGAGGTACTTCTTTATTTTGAGGTGCTCTGAATGTTGACTTATGAGATGAACCAAATGATGTAGTTGGAAGATGGGAAAATGGCTTCACACATTCATGTGTTGATCTGACCAATAGATTTCCTGTAGAGCAATCTGTGCTTCATTAGCACTTTGTATTTGCAGTCATGGTTCATGTTTAGGGAATTCATAGTAGAAGGACTCTGCTGATAAACTCATGAGTTGAACATGAAAGTAATGTATTATCTCCCCTGGTGATGTTCAAAGCAGGAAGCCTGTCTCTTTTATCTTACACCTCACTTCTTAATTTATCTCCAAATTAGCACAGACCTGGAAAAACCTTTGTGTGAAAAAATTCTTTTGTTACTTCTTTTTCACATGGGTGTGTCTGAGGCACAGCAAAAGTGATGCAGTTTGTCAAAAGTTAGGTGTGATGGCATTTTGGAAATGTAATGAAAAATGCTTTGCTGGGAGCGAGGGGGAGTTGACTGTTGCTTGACATTGTGTTATGAAACTGACTGTAAATTCAGACTTGTGCTCCAGTATTATAGTTGGTGGAAAAAATGTAAATCTAGACAATAACAAGAGCCATTCAGTAGGACATGCATTGAAATTACCAGATATCTATTTTTTCCACCTTTCTCCTGCTTATTTCCTGAAGTTATTCTTTGGAGTAAGCAACTTTGCTGCTTTATATTTGATGATGATTTACTTCTCTAAGTCTTGTGTGCATTTTCTCTTAGTAAGGAGAGATTAAGAAGCACATCGGTAGTTTATTTCTGAAGAGATGAGAGGCTCTTTATTTATAAGTTGCAGACATTTAAAAAAATAAAATTACTGAAAAGGTGGCATTGTGATAAATACACAGATATAGAAGGTGCTTGGTGAAATTTTTTCCTGAGAGATGCCAGTAAAAGAAGTAATAGAATATAATGCATTACTCTGCATATCCTGAGGCATGAAGATGATACATCTGCCATTTTAAGATTAATGTAGTGGTAGTTAACATGAGCTTCTCCAGTCTGCATCCTTGTCTGACCTTTGCTGTCTCTCTGTAAAGACTAGCTCATGGAAAGAGCATTCATTTGCCTTCCCTATGAGATAAGAAGAAATGGATGATAAAGTTAGATTCTCTGTGGTTTGACGTATGTAAGATGTTTCTTCTCACGTCAAGTGTAGGAAGATGATGCTGAGGATGGTATGTAGGTGTTTTCAATTAATGTAGACTGTTCTGAACAGGTCATAACTTTCATTTGTGGGGAAAATGGCTGGGTTTAGAACAGTAAGTGCAGTTTAGTGTTTGGACGTTTGACTTCTGAAAGACCAAGTTGACCTGACTTCATCCTTACAGATGTTTCATGAGAGCTTTCCTGAATGAAGCACTAGAGTGTTTGGGGCAAAAAAGCCTTTTAATAAAATTGAGTTATTTTTAAAAGGGACAGGGAATTGTATCTTTCATTCTTCTCTGTTGTATGCTCATAGTGTCACTGATTCTGGAAATTAACCTTGCATGTTACTAGTACAGACTGGTAGCAGTTCAGATTAAGAGAGGAGGAGAATTTAATACACTAGAATTGGCAATCATCTGTAATAACAGCAAAGTTAATATCCTCTGTGATATGAATGCTAAACTATTGAAAGCTTTTGTCTTTAGCCAGCAGCATGTAAAAAGTTTGGGTTCAGATATGAAACTGTCAAAGCAAAGTACTTTGGTGTGTTTAATGTCATTGTTTTTCTGCAGATTAATATAAAGAAGAATGCAAACAGTTCACTGAAAAGACCCCAGGATAAAAATACCAAAACAGGGTCTGTGAAGAAGGAGAAAGTTGTAAAGAAGGAAGAGGGTAACTGTGTAATCAGATTTCTCACTGTAATTATTTTATACACCCAATATGCTTAAAATACTTGCTTTCAAAGTATTTTATGAAAATACCTCTCTGGTTTTGAAAGCTTTCTCAAGTCATGGTCACTCAACATGGATGATAGGGTATGGGCAGCAGCCAAAGAACATTCATTAAATATGTGTCAATGTTTAAGTTGAGTCAGGCTGCTGCTGGTCAGAACATCAGCACAAAGGAGTTGTAATACCCTGTCTCTTGGACCACCTCTCCCTTTTGTCCTAGAGGGCAATGCGTATAGCCTGGAACTCACGGAGTCTTAGCCAGGACATGGCATTTATGTATGAAGAATTAGAAGGTCTGACGTTTATTCTGCGGCTGCCTGTTAATTTTGAACTTTAAGCAGTGCTTAAAAAGCATTAGAGAGTCTGATACTAGCCTAGTGCTTAAGTCTGTGCTGAGGAAGCTTTTTCAAACATACCATGATGTGAATAATTCTGCAGGTGAAATGTGATTTTTTTTTTTTTTTTGAATAACAGTTTGAATTATTGAGTTCTATGTATTATGTCTGTGTTTCTGAAAGTACTCTGCAGTCTGAAAATTACTGTAGTTTTGCACATGTTCACAAACTTACAGAAGTTTCACGGAACAGCTTGGTTTTCCTCACTCCCTTTTCTTCCTCCTTTTTTGTTTCACAGGCCAGTTGGTCCAGTTGGAAGAGAAAGGCAAAGGCTCTGTCCCCTGGTCTGTTTATGGCGTCTACATTCAGGCAGCTGGAGGTCCTTTTGCTTTCCTTGTCATCATGGCGCTGTTTGTGCTGAATGTGGGCAGTACAGCTTTTAGCAATTGGTGGCTGAGTTTCTGGATCAAGCAAGGCAGTGGAGTAAGATAAATCGCTTTTCTCTACTCTCTGGGACTTTTCCCACTCTAGGGGCTTTGATTGCAAGTCTTGTTGCTTTTAAAGATTCAAATATAACTGCAAGATTTTTCTGGGGGAGGAGAAGGGGAAACAAGCTGCTAACCTCAGAAAAAATAATGAATTGCAGATGGCCAACAATATTAAAATAAGCAATGAGGTCCTTAAACATAAATAATAATAAAAAAAAGGTGTGTGACGTAAAGAAATTACTGCATACTGGCAGAAAATAACAACTGTGTTGGGTAAGACTATGCAACGTATTCAAGGAGTGGTGGTATGAAAGTATCCAACATTGTTCAGAAGAACATAAGAAAGAAGCGTGAAATGAGGGATTAGGAATCGGATGAAGTAGGTATAGTGGTAGCTTTTTCAAATATGTTGCAGGAAAAAGGCCAAGGGCTACAAAGCTGCAAGTCAGCAATCTCTGCTAAGGGAATCTTTCTGAAGTGTTCAAAGTACTTCATTTAAAGAAATATCAAATATAGTGTGAAGGGACACAAGACTCTAAAGTTCTAGCATGTGTAATGTGTACATTCTTGATCCTTATCTTAGCTGTTCACTGAAACCTTGAATTTTCTGCAGAACACTACTGTGACTTTGGGAAATGATACTGTTGTAAGCAACAGTATGAAAGATAACCCTCATATGCATTACTATGCTGGCATCTATGCACTGTCTATGGCAGTTATGTTGATCCTGAAGGCTGTTCGTGGTGTTGTCTTTGTAAAGGTATGTGCCAATGCTCTTATTTTTCTTATCTTTGCCACATCCCTTCCCCCTCCTTCCACATATTGCTGTCACCATGATTCTTTTGGTCACCTCCCAAGATTGACTTTTGAATCGGAGGAAGTCGGATCAGATTGTGAGGTTTCCATAAGTCAACTCTTGGGGCTGCACCGTGATTTCTGTTAAACTTCTGCCCAAATTAATAGCTTCCTCCCACTATTTGGAAGCACAGAATGTAAGGGAAAAAAACCCTTATGGTTGAAGAAAGAAAATGAGCAGAGTGTTTTGGTGCCCAGGGAGGTCCAGTGATGGAAAGGCAAATGTCTTTCATAATGCTGCAATGTTTTCTGCATTGTCAGGGAACTCTCAGAGCATCCTCAAGGCTCCATGATGAGCTCTTCCGACGGATTCTGCGTAGCCCCATGAAATTCTTTGACACTACACCCACTGGACGTATTCTCAACAGGTTTTCCAAAGACATGGATGAAGGTATCTCCCACTGTATGCACTGTAAATCCCACATTCAGACCTCAGTTAACGCCTTTATATTCTCTGGTCTCTTTTTATTGGGGGGATCATATCCTGTATCTGTTGCCAAATGTGCACTTGGAATAGATGAAGCCAGAATTGGGACATACTTAGGTTATGATTCTAGAAGGCAGCTGATCTCAAGTCTGTCTGTTAACTTATAAAGAAGAAAATGTGCAGCTGCTTTTGTACCTATAGACTGCACATGGACTCTTAGCAGTTAATGGTATCAGGGTGAAGCTGATGTTCAGCAAAGTAAAAAATTACATCAGAATTGTATCCGTGGTATTTCTGCAAATGGGAATACTTGGAAAGACTACTAGTGCCTCAGAAGACAAAAGCACCCTTGATGAAAATGTACCTTTTTAATTTCAGTAAACCATGAGAAATCACCATCCTTAATGATGATGATCAGCTGTACTGAATTGCTTTAAATAGGTTGTTTGAGCTTTCTGTACTCAAGATCTTCCTTTTTTCCCTCCATTTTTTTCAGTTGATGTTCGTTTGCCATTTCAAGCAGAAATGTTCATTCAGAATGTCATCCTTGTGTTCTTCTGTGTGGGGATGATTTCTGGGGTTTTCCCCTGGTTCCTGGTGGCTGTGGGACCCCTCATTGTCCTGTTCACAGTCCTACATGTTGTGTCTAGGTAAGTGCAGCTTCTTTGACTAAAAGTAAAGATGCTTTAACCTATTAGTAAGAACATAGGTTTCTTCGAGCATATATGCATTTATGTAGTGGTTGGCATATGGTGCTTGTATTTGTCACTTAAAAATGGTTGTGTCCTTTCAGAGTTTTTATTCGAGAGCTCAAGCGTCTGGACAACATCACACAGTCTCCATTCCTGTCTCATATTACATCTAGCATCCAGGGTCTATCCACAATCCATGCCTACCACAAAGGACAGGAATTTCTGCACAGGTCAGTCTGGATATTCATGTGAAAGTCGTGGAGCCCAAAGCAGGGTGCAACAGGTTTACATTCAGAATGATTTATTAATGGGTTCTGTAGCTGATGGCATGCAGATTTGCCCTAGAAGGTGAAAGTTACTTTTCCGGGCCAAAAATAAAAGAGAACAATTAGAAAGGGTGAGGGAAAACTCCCCAGTAGCCAAGTAGAACAGTGGTGGAGTCCTGTGTGAATGCCCTTCTATGGAGTTCTCCGCAGCAGAGCAGGTGGCAGTGATGATGGTGAGGACAACTTTTTGGCCATACTTTTTCTGTGGTAGTGTATACTTCCCATCAGATCCTGCTCATACTTCCTACTGGTTGTTTCTCCTTGGTATTAGCATTAGCTTAGAGCATGCTAACAAAAACTCAGTGTGCATGTTGATGATCTGTTAGTTTCTGTGTGCATATATGTAGTTGGATAGTACTTATCAAGTATTTAAGTGATTGTTAGCTGCCTTGTGCACTATGCTTGTTTTCTCCTAGCATAAACTAAAATCTGCGAAACAAATGTTAGTGAGGGAAAGTGAAACATTTCTCAAGTGAGTGGTAGCTGCTCATGAGAACCTGCCATAACAATTATCAGGGTTTTGCAGGTGCAAGGTCATGAGACAAACAGTGTTGGGGTACAGGGATAATTGCCACAGAAGCTCTGGAAAAACACTGCTACACCAGTTTAGATAAGAAGCTGTGGAGGTGCAAATAGTCTCTTAGCATTGATGGTGCTAGAGTGCTAGGCACTGCACACACTGTGCAACAGCGATTAGTGTAAAACTGAGTTGAATGATCAGAAAATCTAGTTATTGGCTTTGTGAATGTCTCAAGTGTCTCCCCTTAAATACACTTTCTCAGCTCTGCAGTGTCAGGATTGTAAATAAAGTGGTTATTTATGGGTTTTAATTAGTGTCACTAATCCTGTCAAAACTTGCTGTAACTTTTATACGCTTATGTATAAAATAACATGTTCTATGCATATTCTGAAGCTCTGCTGCTGTTGCCTGTGGAGTAATTTGTAGCCATTGAGCATCCTCTGGAAGGTCTTGCATAGGTGAAGTTGTGAAAATATGTGTACTATCCCTGAGTTTTGGTTCATCCCAGTGTAGTTAGTTCATTGTTGTACACAGCGTTGGGGAGAAGCTGCTGCCTGAGTGTTCATACACCACTCAAGGAATCGCAGACACATAACCCAAGACTTTAACTGCTATGACTGAAGTCTCCTCACAGAGGGTGGCTCCAGTGAGCCAATGGATATCCCTTTTGACTTCCTTGCATGTGTGCGCACCTGTGCCTTTCTAGTCCAATGATGATTTTTTGGCCTGGGGTCTTCTAATACCTTATTGGATTCACAGCCCAAGGCTTCAGCAAGTCTAGCTACTCATGCTAAGCAAGTAAAGCTAAGCCAATAGCATGCTAAACCACACAATATTATAACTCTCACTTAAACTATTTAAAACTTATTTAAGCTAAAGAGCTCGTCTCTCTGAACACACAGAAACTTGGTAATTTGACTTCCAAAAGTTTGAGCTAAATATCTGATGTGATTTGTGAAAGTTTGTAAACCCTGCTCTTATGGCCTAGTTAGAGACTTTGTCAGAGATGGGCTAGTCTTCTCACCCTAAATTCTGGTGCTGGAACAGGGGTTTAAGCGGCTCTGCTATTTGTAGAACATCAGGCTTGTGAAAGTTGACTAACCTTTCCTGTATTTGTTTCAGATATCAGGAGCTCCTAGATGACAATCAGGCACCATTTTACCTGTTCAGCTGTGCAATGCGCTGGCTAGCTGTACGGCTGGACATTATCAGCATTGCTCTCATCACAACCACTGGCCTTATGATTGTCTTAATGCATGGCCAGATTCCTCCTGCCTATGCTGGGCTGGCAATCTCATATGCTGTCCAGGTGAGTATGTCCACATATGTAGTTACTGCTAATAAATAAAGGTAATACACCATTGAAAGCTTTCCTTAATGCGCTAGAATGGAAGACAATACTGCTACCCATTTTGGTAATGGAAGGAAAAGTAATTCAGAGTTGGGACCTTCTGCTAGTAGCCAAATTACAAATTATGAGGAGCTGTATGGTTAAGACTATTTTTTGGGAGTTGCCTTTCTTTAAATGATGAAGTGGAAACCATTTGAGGCTCTTTATATGCTGCAAATTGCAATTTTTCTGGATATTTCCAGAAATTGGATTGGTAGTATGAAAGACATGTGCCATACTGATGTCTGAATATATTTTCTGCTGTATGTTTTCACAGCAAACAGTATCCAGAATTGCAGCTGTGCGGGTTTGTTAGACTTCAGGGCTCAGAATACTTGCAAAGCTGTTGTTTGGTCTTTTCTGCCTCCTGGTGGTTGTAAAGTGAAACTACAAAGCAGATGACTGATACCCAAAACTGTTGCTTGCGGGATATTTTTCTAAACTTTTGACTTTACAAGTGATTAATAAATTACAGTTATTCTAAAATTAACTATGAAGTAAAATTAACTTGCCTTGGGCACCTTAGCTGTGTGATGCCCAATGCCAAGAGTACTTTTGTCAGATATCATAAAATCATAGAATCATTTAGGTTGGAAAAGACCTTCAAGACCATTGAGTCCAACCGTTAACCCAGCGCTGCCATGTCCACCACTAAACCATGTCCCTTAGTGCCACGTCCACATGCCTTTTAAATACCTTCAGGGATGTTTACTCCATCATCTCCCTGGGCAGCCTGTTCCAGTGCTTGACAACTATTTTGGTGAAGAAATTTTCCTCATACCCAATCTAAACTTCCCTGGTGCAGCTCAAGGCCATTTCCTCTTGTCCTATTGCTTGTTACTTGGGTGAAGACACCAACCCCCACCTCACTGCCCCCTCCTTTCAGGTAGTTGTAGAGATCAATAAGTTCCCCCCTGAGCCTTCTCCGCACTGAACAGCCTCAGTTTCCTCAGCCACTCCTTGTAAGACTTGTACTCAGACTCTTCACCAGCTCTGTTGCCCTTCTTTGGACATGCTCCAGCACCTAAATGTTTGTCTTGTAGTGAGGGGCTCAGAGCTGAATACAGGATTTGAGGTGCAGCCTCAGCAGTGCTGAGTATGGGGGGGATGATCACTTCCCTAGTCCTGCTTCAGCACCATCCATTAGGTTAATCTCTTAATTCAATAATAAATCACAGCTCTCTAAATTTCTTTGTTTTCTCCCATCACTACAGTTAACAGGGTTATTCCAGTTTACAGTCAGACTTGCTTCAGAGACAGAAGCTCGCTTTACCTCAGTTGAGAGAATTGATCACTATATCAAGGTAGGATAATAATACGTTTCAGTTGCCTGTTGTAAAATTTCTTGTTGCTGGCGTAAGAGGAAAGAAAGTCGGCCATAGTCTGCCTCAGTGCAGAATGTATGTTTCTGATCTTGTATACACATTAACACACATGTTGTAATACTGCAGAGTGAATTTTTCTTGTGAGGCATGTATATAAGCATTGGCAAGATGAATGGCACAAGAGCTAGTAGGTAACCAAGCTTAAAGGTGTTACTTGGCTGACATTTTCATCACTGAAGTTACATAAAGATGTTGAAAGTTTGCCTTCAGTAAGGCATGGAGTATGTGGAAGGGGTAGCTAGGAATTCAGTATGATTTTTTACAGTAAAATGATGGTCTTCTGGCATCCTTCATTCCAAAAATAATGGAGCTCCTTCATTTAAGCACAGTAACTGTTTGTTACTTTATCTATATGTAATTCTGCTTCATCCTCATAAGTCTACTTCTTTTTCCACAACTGTCTTATGTAACATTTCTATATGCTTAAAAAGTCAAGGAATTGCTCTCATTGCAGAACTGAGTATAGGTCAATGGGGAGAGTGTAGCCAGGAGAAAGCCTACTGGGTCTGGTCTCCGAGGTGAAAGGTTTTTTACTTCACATATTACACATTCCCTCTAAACTCTGGAGGGAGATACATATCTATTTCATTAATCTGGACTATGTAGTAGTTGATATTCTTAGAACACTTTTTTAATCTGTGGATTTAATACTGAAGAGAAAATAATTAAGCTGCCCAGTTCCCCAGCTGAAGAAATAAATCCTCTTTCTAAGTAGAAAATTTCTATGTGGAAGGCTTGGTTGACCGCACAAGCTCACAACTGTGTGCCAAATACTGCCTGGTATCTTTCACTGGGCTGAGATGGGTTTATCGCTGTCAGTGGCAAGGCCTGTAGTTGTAGGCTGTTGGTTTGGTTGATTAAGTTATTGTCTATCATTATATATTGCTATTAAGCAACATTTTCTCTGGTGTTTATTATTTGGATCTCTAGACGGCCATTTTATTATGGAACTATAAAACAAGCTTGAATCTAAAGTGAAGGGGTGGATGAGCAGTGAAACACTGTACAGGTTCTGTGTCTTACAAGTCCCGGTCTTGGCTTCTTTCAGTGAAGGCTCAGAGGCTGCTCTTCTGAGCATCAAGCTCAAAGAATTGTAGTACTATTGTTGCAGGTAGCTGTTTTCTCAAACTTTTGGAGTCCAGTTAATGACTTAGAGTAGGTATTGCAGATGGTCCACAACTGACTTTTCAATAGTCAGTGTAGGAAATTAGCATCTCCAGAGGGCAGTTTGTTACCTGTTCTAAGTGCTTTTATTAGAATGAGAAAAATCAGTAACGCTGGCTGCTTTGCAGTGACTATGAAGGAGTTGATGCACCTGGTTTATTTGGAGATTGTTACTTTGTATGTGTTTAAAGTTACATGAGGTGAATCTGACAGTGGGATTTCTGCATTCTGTGGGGCTGCTTGAAGCAAATACGGGAAGTGACCTTGGCTTCACCCTGAACATATATAACATGTGCTATAAAGGAAGTGGCAGAGTAAAATTGCAAAAGTGAGCAAGCTGGAAGGGCCCCAGCTGACTCAGTGATTTAATAGAACAGGGGCAAATGAGGAAAGAAAAGAAGAGCATTCGTACAATGTGTTATTTGAGTGTTCTTTCCTGTGTCAGGATCCACAGAGGTGACCCTAGCATGACATAGCAAATGAGACATAGAAATACAGTAGATCTTTTGTCCAGAAGCATTCAGGCTTTGGAGCGCCACAGAACTCAATAGGGTTTTACCCATAAATAATAGGCCTAAAATACATTTTGAATTCCATTGATCAAAACCATTGGTGCATTAGAAGGACCAGTGTCATTATTAAGGCAAGGAAAGGGTAATAACAGTGTAGTCAGTAACACAGTAAACTTCTGAACCACTGGGCCCACATCCAGTTACACAACTCATCATAAAACTGGTGTGGGCCAAGTCTGCAGGGAAGAACTCCTGCTGAAAGCTGCAACTGATAATTTTCCTTTCTGTTGTTTTGTTTACTGGAAGCTGAACTTCTGGGTTTTGGGTTTTGTTTTTATTTTTAAAGACACTTTCCCTGGAAGCTCCTGCTCGAATTAAAAACAAGACTCCTCCTCTGGACTGGCCACAGGAAGGTGAAGTTGTTTTTGAAAACGCAGAGATGCGGTACCGAGAGAACCTTCCTCTAGTACTTAAAAAAGTGTCCTTTACCATCAAACCGAAGGAAAAGATTGGCATTGTGGGAAGGACAGGCTCAGGTAAGGAAACACCAAGCAGTTACATTACTGCTTTTGCAGAATGGGAATGTAATAGAGTGGGACAGTCCTATTGGTTCTCCTCTGGTCTTCTCTGTGGTTGAGTAAATTGTTAATTGTACAGGAATTATCTGTCACTCTGTTGGTGGTTATTTCATGGGCATACATAAACAGGATCCTGTAAACAATAATTAAGGCAAGTTTCAATTTAATGTAGAGGGATATCTTATTATACCTAAGCCGGTGTGCTCATAATGTTTAACACCCAAGCTGCTTATTGGCACAGAATGCTCATTGCAGCTTATTTGACTCTGTTGAAAGTTTTATTTACTGATGCTGCAGCCAGGTTTGACTCTAAGCTATCTGAGAAGTCTGTACCATGAATAATCAAAAGCCCAATCAAAATCTCAGTGTCTGTGAGATGACTTAAATCAACTCCAAAATGTCATTTCTAGATAAGCAATTAATATTGCTGTATTGGGCTTATGTGGCATGGTTTTGGTACTGGGCGTGGGGCAGCATAGCATGGGTGGTTTCTTGGAGAAGAGATTAGGAGCTGCCCCTACAACTGCTTAGAAGTTTAAATGCTGAACCCCAGCATTTACCAGCGTTGTTTGCCAGGACTTTATGGTATTTAAAACACTTTTTGTACACGTGGACAGCTTTTAAAATGCTTTCTCATCTCAAAGCTGCTATGACTCTACAGAGTCACACTAACACTGTTTTTCCTGGCTCATTTTTAGGGAAGTCTTCTCTTGGAATGGCACTCTTTCGTCTTGTTGAACTATCTGGAGGCTGTATTAAAATTGATGGAGTGAAAATAAATGATATTGGTTTGGCAGATCTTCGCAGCAAACTCTCAATAATTCCTCAGGAACCTGTGCTATTCAGTGGCACTGTGAGGTTAGTGAGACCATAAAAAGTCAGAAGGACTAAGCAGGCTACCAGTTCATACTCGAACTCAGGTGCTTGGTGAGATGTTAGCTCTCAGGCATCCTACCTTCTGTTCTCTGTTTTTGAAACAAACAAAAAAGCACAGCTAAATTATTTCAGCTGACCCAGTGCAGAACTGGATGTGATCATCCTCTATGGAAGCTTTGTTTTCCCTTTAGATTTAATTGAAACTTTTGTATCTTTGTCTTCCATCTCTTTTGTTCTTTGGCTACTCTAACCCTAGAGTGCAGGGAGCATCTGATTTCCTTGGCAAGGAAATTCTGTCAGTGGAAGGCTGGATGGAATCATTTGTCTGGATAGATTAGCACACTGCTGTTTTGTCATTCATTGCTGAATAAATTCTGGTTATGTTTTCTATTTCCCCCTTCAGATCAAATTTGGATCCTTTCAATCAGTACAGTGAGGAACAAATCTGGGATGCTTTGGAAAGGACTCACATGAAGGAGTGTGTAAGTATTATGTGCCCTATGAGTTAACTGTGTTTTGGCTTCCAAACCAACAAGTTCTATTAGTAGCTACTTCAGAGACCTTTAGGTAATGCTTTTTCTTTGCAACTTTTCCCCCTTGTTTATGCTTTATTTTACACCACCACACCCTGACTGGTTTTGTTTTTTTTTAGTGTGCTGTATTTTGGATGTGTATTTTTTGTAGTATATACTATAGCAGAGTGGTGCTTTATCACATGGACTCCTAGGATGTCGTAATATTTCAAGTGATATTTTTCTGTACGTGCCTTATGTGCACGTTCTGCATTTACATTTGTGAATGTTAATGTCGCCATTGCACATTTATACAGAACTTAACATCTGCTGCTTGTGAGGTGCCCTGCAGCAAGTCTCACTGCCATGATTTTTCCAATCAGATTCTTTTCTTGTAAGTCAGGTGGCATGTATGGCTACGGTACATAAGTTGCAGTAACTCCTGCAGGGACTAGATCGACTTTTCTTTCGGTGAGAAAGATTGTCAGGAGATCTCTATTCATGTTGATGTGATTTTGTGCAATGCTCTTAAGATTTTTTTTTTGCGTCTTCTTTGTGACACAGGTTGCCCAGCTGCCTATGAAACTTGATTCAGAAGTGATGGAAAATGGAGAAAACTTCTCAGTTGGAGAGAGACAGTTACTGTGCATAGCTAGAGCTCTACTGCGTCGTTGCAAAGTGAGCATAGCAGTGAAAGAAATAGATGGAAATAGAAAACTGATAAGATTGAGAAAACCTTTTCTTTTGTGCCCAATTCCATCTATCTGTCAGAGAAATCACACCAGCAATATTGCAACCTAGAGAGGCATAGGGTTAGAGCAACTAGGAAGGCATCTGTAGCCAGCTGCTAACTCCTGTAATGTCAGACTGTAACTCCTGCCATCAGAAAGGTATTGCTCATTAGTGTTATTAATAGGGTGTCAGACTGGCCTAATAATTTATTCAGTGTGTCCTGTTACTGGTGAGCATCGGATTCTTTCCTTCTTTTCACTTTTTTGTGAATGTTGGCCAAGTTTTCTCTTCTAGATGATGCTCCACTAAAATGTAGACTCTAAGTGGAGTTTGGGACCATGCTGTGCCAGCAAAGTTAAAGGTTTTGCAGGAATGGAAGACAGACAATTACAGTGAGAAAGTGCTTTTGGATTGAGTTTGACGAGGATTTTAACATCCTTTTTTGTTAAATATGACACACCAAAAAAAAAAAAAAGGTGTGATGGGTAATAACTCTGCTCCTGTTTTAAAGACTACTCAGCAGAAGTTACTGCTCTCTCTGCAGTACCTGCACAAAACAAGTCTAGTTTAGTTTTGACAGGACACCTCCCCAAATCAGTTTGTGTCTGAGAGGAAGGGTAATTCTTTCCAGCATAAGAAAGCTAGTAAGCCTACTTAGTATTGACTCACTCCAGAAGGAATGTCACTACCAAGGATGTGTCAGTATTTGTATTTGAGATTTAGCTGCTGAATGTAAAACTGAAAGTGGTGGAAACTTGAGGGTCAAGTCAGAACCCAAACATCTTGTGGCTCTAGGATGTGACCATAAAATGCAAGTGTGATTCATAGGGCAACTTTATTGAAGGTAATTACATAAAACTGAAAGGGTGCTTGTAAAAACTACCTTTGTGACCGCAGCTCTGTAAGAAACTTATAGAGTTGGTCATGATAATATTTTTTATGTTCAGGAAAGAAAAGCATTATTATGGGTAATAGCTAGGATTATGTGCTGCTTTCAGATTTTGATACTGGATGAAGCAACAGCTGCTATGGACACTGAGACAGACTTACTGATTCAGGAGACTATCAGAGAGGCATTTGCAGACTGCACTATGTTAACAATTGCTCATCGCCTGCACACGGTACTGGGCTCTGATCGGATCATGGTGCTAACACAAGGACAGGTAAGCAGAAAGACTTGTGGCTGCAGTTCCTGTTGTAGTCTGGTGATGCCATATGTGTAGGCTGAACTGAAAGAGCACCTAGCATTTCACTGTAGAGAGAAAATCCTTTGTGTTCATTCACATCCTTGGTAATAATACTCCAGTAGAATCAGCTGTTGCAAAATTTCTTTTACACTTCAAGAAAGTACCATAGAGCAACAGTCTTTTAAAAGTGTTTTTAATATTCCCTTTGTAGATTAATTCTGAGATGGGTAATAAGGTAAGCATCTCTGCTGAGGCTCAGTTGCAGTTTCCCATTACTTTCATGAAGGCCTGTGCTATCAAACAGGCATATGACGGGTCCTTTACCCACTTTTCAGGCTTCTATGTGGAAGCCATAAACAGTTAAATTGAATGTAAGAGCATTTGACAAAGCTTTTAAAGGTAGAGAGGACAAAACCACATAGCACCTGCCTCTGTTTGCCAGAGCCACCAGATATTGTTTCCTGCTGGGTAGTTCTAGTGTTTGAGCAAGTTTGAAACATCCCAGGTTATAGTATGTATGCATAAATGTGTGCACTTCCACCCCCTGTTGTCTCATCTAAAGACAAATGCCATGTTTTTTGGCTTCTTCAGTACAGTTGTGAGTTCAAGGCAGGGTGGGAATCCATTTTCCACTGTGTTTTACTGACATACTTTTCCTGCCTTGTTTGCTTTTAGGTAGTGGAGTTTGACATGCCGTCTGCCCTTCTGGCCAATGAGAACTCGCGCTTCTATGCTATGTTTGCTGCTGCGGAGAACAAGGTTGCTGTCAAGGGCTAAAATTCAGGGCAAAGTCACTTTAATTTTGGAGAGCTACACTCTCTGCCTGTGGCAGGCTAGCTCTTCTTCCTCCTCCTCCTTCAAGCAGATTATTGCCTTTTCATCTTTTAATTTTTAGCAGAATATGTCAAGCCAGAGAGTTTTTAAAACCATGTCAGAAGAATTCTTCATGTTTTTATTATTGTATTTATTCCATAATCATATTACTAATTTTTTGTTATTAAATGCACTCTACAAATGGCTCAGGGAGCCATAGTCACAAATGTATCAGAGGCCTATAATGAAGCTTTATACATGTAGCTATATCTATACATAGTTCTGTATATAGCCTATATTTACAGTGGAAATGTAAGCTGTTTATTTTATATTAAAATAAGCACTGTATTAATAACAGTGCATATTCTTTTCTATCATTTTTGTACAGTTTATGGTACAAGAGATCTGGCTTTGTAATTGGACTGTATCAGACACCATTGTCTTTTACAGTTGGTCTTTTCCTAGTGCCAGATTTTCTGCGTGTCTGAGTGGAAGTGAAGCTTTGCAATAGTGTCCTTTATTGTCACATCTTTGTTGTCTAGCACAGGGGAGAAGAGCTCTGTGGTGTAACTATTGCATTGTAATTTATCAAAGCTATTTGGAGCATCACTAATGTTCACCATGGCAGCGGCTGCTGCTTCCCATAATGCTTTCTCAAAGCAGGGTTTTTAGTGACCTCCTGAGTGGAAAACCACTTCTGGGTCACATTAAGGCCTCATATTTTCTCAGTGTCCTGATACAGTATTTCTTACTGTGTCAGCAGGGTTTATTTTAATGCAGGCAAGCCCAAGCTCTTCCTGCTTCGCTGATCTAACAAAACCTAAATCTAACTGTTCATGGAATGATCTGTAACAAATTAATCATAAGGTTCAAGTTACACCCTGTATGCTAGCAGGAAAGCCTTTTCAGAGTTGCTTCAGCTGACTGACTCCTTTATCTTGAAGCTGCGAACACTCCTCAGAGGTGTAGGTTGGCTTTCACTGGCATGGGTAGCACTCTTTGTTCTGCTCACTTATACTAAGGTTAAACAGTATCAATATTTCCTGTTTCTTTATTGCACACTTGTTAAGGAAACAGTCCCCCACCCCATGTCTTCTGGAACTTGGAACAGGTTCCTGTTGATCAGGATGTAACACTGGTGTAGGACATTGTTTTCTTACTGTAAAGAGACCTACCTCAGGTTACTAGGTCCTGCATAGTATGTTGCCATGATCACTGTACACCATCCCTGTTTTGTGGGACCTGTGGCCCAGAGGGGCACGGTTGCTCCAATGATAGCCGTGACTTACTGAATGGTCAGCGTTGCATGTCTTTGTCAACTTGGACATTTTGTAGCCTTAGCATGTTTGCAAAATGTTTCACCAAGGCAGAAATCTGAAAAGTAAATAAAACTATTTTGGGTTTTGTAAATTTGATTGACTTAAGTGGTTTGTTTTGGGCAATAAATCACTTTGCACCTTTTTGAGCCCTGGAAGAGAGGTTTTGCAGGCAGGTGTTTTTTTTTTTTTGCCTCCTGTCTATGTACCACAGCCTGGTCTTTCTTCCTTCAGAGTGGAAGTGTTTCTTTAAAAATGTAGTGGGTAATTTTTATGCCCTCCAGCATGGGGGTGGCTTACAATATATGTATGTTTGTGTTGAGTACTACAGGGAATAATAATTTATTGTGCAAGTATTCGATCCAAGCAGCAAGGGGGGAGTTCAGATGGAATACAGAAGATCTTTCTTAGGCTCAGATTTTTCCACTTTCTTTACCTGCAAGCATTACTGTTTATAATGTGGCATGACTGCAAAGTCATAGCAACAAGCCTTTCTACCTACGAATACCACAGGCAAATAATGGCATTAACGGCTTAGACTGTAGCTTGATGTTTGTTTTTAATCAGAAGCTTGAGGACAAAAAAGAAACTGGGAAGAGGCATGAGGCAGCAGAGGTGATAGGGCAAAGATAATGCATGTCCTGCTTCTTCCTTAGAATTAGAGCTGGGTAGAATGTGAAGATGAAGGCTGAAAACTTAACAGGAGAGGAAGAGCATGAAATGCATCTGCCTAAGGCTGTGGTTAAAACAGATCAGTCAGTTGGCATGTGCAACTCTGTTAAGGACAGGATTGTTTTGGACCCTGCAGAACTGAGTTCTCAAGTCTTGCTGGGGTCAGAGCATGGCTTCATTTTGCAGCTAAAGCTGAGCTAATGGCAGTCTGTGCAAAAGGGAAGCCATCCTGATCTTGTCCTCCTTCTTCTTCCAGGCTGGGAGTTCCTTCCACTTTCCTGAGGTCAGCACTGGCTCTTGCCTGGTCCAGCAGTGACCCAGTTCAGAAAGCTAACTTGCAGAAAGTTCATCCTCCAAAAGCTGTACAAAGAAGGAGACAGGAAGGCACACCTGGAAGGGAGGTGAAGTGGGGCTGCTATTTTCAGTAGCTGCTAACTGCAACACTGGTATAGGTATGAGGAGAAACTGTGCTCAGGATTCATTGCATCAAACTGCTGCTTCCCAGTTATGCTGCTAAAAAGGTCAATATTTTACTCCTGCTTTGGGGAGCTGAAATAGCTGAAGGTGTCAGACAAGGGCATATGAGAGAGCAGGTGAACAGTCACCTGCAGATAGCAGGGATTATCTCAACAGTTTTGTTAAACCTTAGCTCCAGCATTGTTACTTTGGAATTAAGGAGAGAGACTGACAGAGGGGAGATGTTCTTTCTGCTGTAATCACTTATCTGCTTCATTTGGCACTTGTCTCACAGACCAATACACAAGTATTGCTTCTCGCATGGGTAGCAGTAATTTTTTTATTGGCTTTTGTCCTGAACCACAGGAGCAAGCGGAGGCCTGGCCCAGGGCCCTGTCACTGAAGTGAAAAGAAGAAACATCAACATTTATAAACGAGACTGAAATACCTGTATCTTTGAAGGATTCTACAAGAGGTTGAGGATGATGGGAATTTTCAAGAGTTGGATCCTGCTTTAGAATTTATAGTGTGGTATCCCAGAGAACAGTTCATCCTGCAAGGATTAGAATAAGGTTGTGGGCTTGGGACAGAGGTTTTCCTTAAAGAGATCCTACCCAAAATAGCATGGAGATCGCACATCATTATGGCATGGTTAAACCCCAGCTGACAACTAAGCACCACACAGCTTGTTCCCCCCCCCCCCGTGGGATGACGAAGAGAACTGAAATGATAAAAGTGAGAAAGCTGAGATAAGGACAGTTATAGGTATAATAGGTAAAGTGAAACCCACACATGCAAGCAAAACAACCCACGGAATTCATTCACCACTTCCCAGCTGCAGGCAGGTGTTCAGCCACCTGCAGGAAAGCAGGGCTCCATTGTGTGATATGAAATATCCCTTGAATCAGTTGGGGTCAACTGTCCTGGCTATGTCCCCTCCCAATTTCTTGTGCAGCTTCAGCCTACTCACAGGTGGAGAAGCAGAAAAGGCCTTGACTCTGCGTAAGCACTGCTCAGCAGTAACTGATACTACATCCCTGTGTAATCAGCAGTATTTCAGCACATATCCAAAACATAGCCCCATACCAGCTACTTTAAAGAAAGTGAACTGTACTGCGACCAAAACCAGCACACTTTCCTAGTATGTAGCAAAGGCTGAAACCCAAGACCAACAGGTGTGCAACTTGAGAGAGATTTGTCTGGGATATTATCCTCCAGAATTTCGATTGCATCAGTTTTGCTTATTCTGTCCAAATTCAGCCAGTGCAGCTGATCTTTAAGTGCAACTTCTTATCATAAGCTTAGAGGCCCCGAGAAAATGTTTTCCGGTTCATCTCATCTATCTGATGAGTGGAAATGTTGCGCTTGCTCAGGACTTCAATCAAAATGCAGGTAGGATTCTTCTAAAATGGCCCAGTGGGGTCGGTGTGCCATTAAATTGGTGCAATTAAGTCCCAGGTCCTGAACCTGGCCTAGCTTGAACACATGAAGAGACTTCATTACCTGTGGTGAAGATCATACCGGCTCATATTCTGGTATGTTACCCCTACATGAAAGCTAGAGGGAGATCGAGCAGTCTCAGTACATTGCTTGGAACAAAGTTTGAGAAAGCACTATTGTTGTTTCAAAAGGCAAATGGGGCGAGTGAGAAAAAGTGTCAGAAGGGAAGGCTAAATGCAGAATATGCCATTTATGAATGGAGGATGTGGAGAGAAAAGGCGGCAGGAAAAAAAGTTTCTCTTAATTAGGAGGGGATTGGGCAAAGACAAAATTGCTTCTTGAAGGTGCTTCAAAGGAACATACTGAGAAGGTGCAGGGAGGCTGTAATGCCCTCATCAACCAAAAGAGCTTTCCTGAAGGCTGCCTTGTTCCTTTTTGTTGCAGCTGTAGTGTGTGTTTTACTATATATAAGCAATCACACAAGATTTCTTTGTAGACCCAGCTTCAGGTCAGTCTAGGATAATACGTGATTTGGTTTACACTTGGTTCAGCTGTTAACTGCAGCTATGTTGTGCTGGGGCCACAGTTTCTGCCTCAAATATGATGATAAGGTGGAAACTCCACTGGAACTTGGTGCATATGCTGCTGTTAGTAGTGTAAGGCATGGGAGGCTTTTACAATGTGCCACTATGGGTTTGTTAAACCCACAATCATGTAATAACTGTTCCTGTGTCATCCACAAGATGTGCCTTGCAGGCTCAGTAGGTGGCTGAGGTAGACTGAAAATAGTTCACACAAGTGTCACTACATGGGGCAGAGATTTCCTTGGACAGCATGGAGTTCAAATCACAGTGCTTTCAGCACACCTTCCTTCCTTCCTTCCAGTATACTGTCTCCTACCCTTGTCAGACAGAGAAACAAGTGGTTGTGTAAAGACGATAATTTTGTGGTTTCTGTCCTTCGCGATTTAGGAAGGCAGCAGTGGATGGTGTGCAATTGATTGCCTCGAGGGATGGGGAAAAGTTACGTACACTGTGTCTGAGCTGGGATCGTTTAGGGTGG